ACACTCTTCTGGTTGTTTCTTCTTACCTCATCTCAATTGTGTTTCCTTCTTACTGTTTTTGCTGGTTGCTTCTGTGTCCAAGGGCATGGTTCTGACACTTTCATTTCTCTCTTTTTTTTCCCATAGGTGAATTTAAATGTCTGTATGCCACAGCTGCCCACATTTGTATTTTTAGTTTTGACCTATCCCCTGAATTCCAAAATAGTAAGTCCAGTTGCCAATTTGACATCTCCACTTGATGTCTTCCGTGAACCTTCAACTTACCATATCCCAAATTGAACCTTCTCCCCATCTGCCTATTACTCAGTACACAGCATCACCATTGGTTGGGTTGCTTAAGCCAAAAATATAGGAGGTTTCCCTGATTTATCTCCCACATCCATTTAATCAGCAAGCCCTGTCTTCTCTAAAATATAATCTTTATCTCTTCACTTTTGCCCATTTTTACTATCATTACCCTGAGCTTTTAGGCTAAGTACTTTGTGTGCTTTAACTTTATAGGTCTTTCTCCAACATCACAGCCCTAGCAACCTTAAAAGATATGAATTAGGTCATTTTACTCACCTCCCCAAAACCTTTGCACTTAAAACTAAATCTAAATTCTGCTGAGGCTTTACAGAGCCCCAAAGGATTTGGCCCTTGTCTCTCTCATCCCCTTGATCCCTACAGTCTGGTTACACTTGTTATACCTACAATATGTCAAGATTGTCTTTGCTCTGTCCCCAGATCTTTGTGTGGTTGGCTCCTTATCATTCAGACATTGGTCTTATATTTAAGACCTTAGAGAAGCCTTCTGTAACACTAAAAAATAAATAGCTTCCCAGTCACTATTGCTCTGTTTTATTTTCTTCTTGGCACATACCACTACATACTTCCTTGTTTACTATATATTTCTCTCCATTGGAGTATAAGTTGCCTTTCATGTTCTTTCCTGTATTCCTAGAACTTGGAACAATGCCTGGCGCATAGTAGGTGCTTAGTAAATATTTTGCTGAATGAATGAACATTCACGAAGATAAATTAGAACTACCAAAAATGGAACCAGCTGCTTCAGGAAGTGGTAGATTTCCATCTTTGGAAGTGCTCAGGGAGAGACTGAAGGATATTTGTGGGGGAGCTTTTTGAAAAGTCATTCTTTGCTTTTTTTGTACCCCAGCACATCTGAGGGATATGACACACCCCTATCAGTAACACAGACTGTGGAAGGTTTGTAATTCTCCCCCTGGGGGTGGCTTTATCAACATCTGTAAGTATCGAGGATACTTAGGTTGTAAAGCTTCCCAGGTGATTCATGCACACTCCCCCAGTGTGCCCTCCCCCACCCCCTTTTACACATTTTATGCATCAAACGGGTATTGGTATTTATGACCTCCGAAGTTCTTTGTGTCTGTGGGATTCTGATTTAGAATGTTGTCATTGAATTAAATTTAGATTACTGTGATCATGATAATGATAACACATCATTTCATTACTTTATCCATCTTCATTGTGGAGTTTTTGTATCATGAAGAATATACCTTCATCTTTCCTGAAACATTTCTGCCCTCTGTTCCCTCCACCCTAATAACTAGGGTGTTTATAGTTTGGTATTTATTTCTCCATATCTTTACTGGATTCCAACTACAATGACAGAATAATGGTATATAAACCAAACAACCAAACCCACTGCCGCAGAGTCCTGTCCGACTCATAGCGATCCCTTCTTGGGTTTCCGAGGCAGTATATGTAACAACAACACAACAACAACATCACTACGGGGAATCTTCCCCAGCCTGCCTCCCGAGGAGTGGCTGGTGGGTTTGAACCGCCACCCTTTTGGTTAGCAAATGCCTTAGGCACTACGCTACTAGAGCTCTAATGATATGTATGTCTTTTTTTTTTAAGTTTTTAAATTGTTACAGTGTTCCCTCCCACCCCTGGTAACCAACAAAAAAAGTTTCCATCTATAATGATATATATATTTAGAAACAAGTATGGGATGGATTTTTTTTCCCCCATTTAATGTATATTGGGTAACTTTCTTGCCAGTGTATAGAGATGTACTTCATTATTTTTTTAATAACTGCATGGGATTTCATTGTATATCTGTAGTGAAACTTATTTAACTAATCCCCTTAATAACATTTGGACTGAAGTTAGATTTTTTTTTTCAACTTTTTACACATATTGTTAAAATATCTTTTTTTTTTTTTAAATTTTATTTTGATTTGGGTGAAGATTTACAGAGTAAATTCACTTTTCATACAGCAGTTCACATAATATACTTTGTCTCATGTCATTGACCAAAATTTACAATGCAACAGCTCCCCTCCCACTTCCTCCCCATAGTTAACTCTTCCCAGTGTCCATCCCTCCATACTCTTCTGCGCCCTGAGCTATCTCCCTGTGTATAAGCAGCCCTTCCTTCTCCCATGATTGTTCTCTCCAGGGCGTGTGTCTACTTGAGGTAAATGTTTATTTCACATGCCTGTACTTTGTGTGGCTGGAAACCACAGGTGTGGCTTCAATTTCAGACCTGCAGGGCAGCTAGGGGCCATAGTCTCAGTGGTTCCACCAGGCTCTATTGGACCAGCAAACCTGGTCCCCACCTTCTTTTTTTTTTTTGCCTCCAAATGATTTTGAGTTTTGTTCCACATTGTTCTCCCTCTCTATGCAGGATCTCCTACATCCCTTCCAAGTGGATGACAGTGGTAGCCGGGCACCATCTAGTTCTTCTGGTCTCATAGTTTATTGTTAAAATATCTTTGTTCTGCAATATAACATTCCTTAATCAAAAGGTAAAAACATTTTAAATGTTAATAGATGTTGCCATTTGCTCTCCCAAACACATATACCAGTCTATGCTTACTACAGCAGGATTTTAATAGGTTGAGCCATATTAAGTAATTCACTGCACTGCACTTCAGTTGATGTCCTTTGTGTTTTGAAGGGTCTGGGTACCTAAAAAGATTGGCAGTGCTTCCACCATGTTTACATGTTCAAGCATAGTGAAAACTGTTGCCATGGTGACAGGCTCTGATGAACTAGTCTGGTAGTTTTCTGACCTTTGGGTTAGATCTCAGTTCACAGCCTTTTCTTGGTTAGTGATGGGGGATGGATGCTAGCCTGAAGCAAATTTGGGCTTTCTTAAATAGAGTAATAATTTATCACAGGCATAAAAATATTTTGAAAAAATGTACTCCCGAAACTTCCTTTTCATGTCATGTGGGACTGTTGAGAATTTTATCAGGTTGGAATCTTTAAACGTTTAAAATGTGGAAAAGGAGGTCTCTGTCAAGAGTTCTATAGCTGAAGTCTCTTGCCCTTTTTGAACTAAATAAGCAGCTGCTAGAACTTTGAGATAAAAACAACTTGTCTGCAACTATGAGGTCCTCATGGATGAGCATGTTATATTTATAATCTCTGCTATCCATTATTATGCATGTATTCTGTTAGAATATAATTCACATTTTTATAACTTTCTGTCATTCAGCTTACCTCCTTTGTTACAGCCTCAACTACATCTCCATCTAGTTAAACTTTGAAACTTAAATCAGGAGATAAGAGAGTTGTGAAGGTTTTGTGGTTATAGATTTTTTCTTTGAGTTATCCTCAGGTTTTCACCCTGACTCTGAGCAATCATATTTTTTTCTTTAATTTTCCTTTAACAGACAGTTAAGAGCACAAGCTTAAGTGTACAACTTGATGAACTTTTAAATTCATCTAACCACCACCTAGCTCAAGCTCGAGAACATTACCAGCACTCCAGAAGCCTCTTGTGTTGCTCCCTCCAGTCACCATCCCCCACCCAATGAAAAATAAAGCTGCTGTCCTGAATTCTATTACCATATATTGATTTCGCCTGGCTTTAAACTTTACATAAACAGAATCATACAGAATGTACTTTTTCATGTCTGGATTGTGTTGCTCAGCATTATTTTTGAAATTTATCAGTGTTGTATGTTGCATGTTGTTGTTCTTGTTACGTGCTGTTGAGTCAGACCTGACTCATAGTGACCCCTCCGTGGGTTTCCTAGGCAGTATCACTATAGAAGTAGATTGCGCCATCTTCCTTCCGAGGAGTGGCTGCTGGGTTTGAACCACTAGCCTCCTGGTTAGCAGTCAAGTGCCTTAGGCACTATGGCTGTATAATATTCTCTTGTATATGTATCCATTTGTTATAGATTGAATTTTGTCCAGCCCCAAATATGTGTTATAAATCCTAAAGCCTATACCTGTGGTGGGAGCTCTGGCAGCATAGTGCCCCAGGCATTTGACTGCTAACCAGAAAGCTGGAGGTTCAAACCCACCAGCCGTGCCTTGGAAGGAAGGTTGGGTAATCTACTTCGGTAGTGATACTGCCTTGGAAACCCAAGGAAGGGTCTCTGTGAATCGGATCTGACTCAACGGCAGTGTGTTTGGTTTGGCTTTTTTTATACCTGTGATTATAATCTAGTTTGGAAATTGGTCTTCTGTGTTTTGTTGATGAGGCAGTAGTAGTAGAGAGTGTGTTTTAAATCAATCTCCTTTGACATATAAAATAGCAGATTAAGTGAGGATTAAGCAGTCAGACATGGGGAAAGATAGATGTGAAGCCAAATGATTTCCAAGGAATCGAAGCTGAAAAAAGACGCGGGCTTTCCCCAGAGCTGACAGAAAGAAAGCCTTCCCTAAGAGCCTGTGCCCTGGATTCAGACTTCTAGCCTTCTTTTGTGAGAAAATAAATTTCTGTTTGTTAAAGTCATTCACTTGTGGTATTTCTACTGTAGTAGTACTAGATATCTAAGGCCCCATTTTACTGTTGATAGATATTTAGACTGTTTCTGGTTTTTAGGGGTATCATGAGTAGAACTGCTGTGAACATCCCTTCACAAATCCTTTGCTGCACGTACACATTCATTTCTGTTAGGTATATACCAAAGAGTAGACTTGTTAGGTCATAGGGTATGTTGGCGTTTATAAACGTACATACTTATTTTATAATTCTAGATGATCATTTTTATATTTTGCTTCATTTATAGTTTGTCTGAGAATACAGATCAACCCACAGAACAAAGCGGATTTCCAAGGCATCTCCCCGGAGCGAGCCTTTGCTGATTTTCTCTTTGCCAGCACCATCTTGCACCTTGTTGTGATGAACTTCGTTGGCTAAGACTTCTATTTGGCCAATTGAGGAGTAGGAGACAAGAAGAATGTAAGTGATGATCATGGCCCTTGTCCTATAATGTTGATTTTAGAAAGAGAAATTGGTTGGGGCTGATTTTGAACATGGTTGGCAAAGTTCTCATATTGCTAAGATGTTGGCAGAATTTTCCAGTGGGCAGCAGAGCCTGCATTAATATCATGATTCATCAGTGTGGCTACTGTTAGTTATTCCTTTCTCTTCTCACTTCTCTACAAATTACTAAGATAACAGAAAATTATGTTTGCCTGTAGCTAATAAATTAATTTTTACATCAGTAACTCCATGAAAACAACTCAGAAGAGATCTTGGATGAAAAATAAATAGTAAGTTTTTCCTTTAGATTTGCTTTATAATATTTCCTGATTTTGAACTCATATGACTTTAAATGCCATTGCTCTCTTAGTATCCAGCATAGAGCTAGATAGCAGGATGCTACCTGCTAGGCATCTAGTATATGTTGAATGAATGACCATGGACATTGCTAACATGTCTCCTCAGTAGAAATAATTTGGGAAATTGGATTTAACATGAGAGAAGTCTTTAAAATATGGGGGGGGGGGAAGCCATTTGTTATAGTATTTATCAAGCTTTTCCCTCTTTTTAGCAGTAGAGTTTTTTTTCCCAAAACAAAATCTTACATAGAATTTCAGTGTATAAAGCAGATAGCACTGGAGCTGATGTTTTGACTGACAAGTTGTCAAGCGTCCCTGCTTGGCTTCCCCTTCATGTGTGTTACACCCTCTTCTCCATCTGCCTCACTCTCAACCCCAAGGAACCTGTGAGGAAATTTCATAGACTCCTGAGGTTCTAAGATGTAAATTGATGTTTTCCAAACTCTTTATTAACTCTCTTAATTTACATGTGAGAAAACAGGCCCAGAAATATGCAGTGGCCTTCCTTGGCCCCCCTCACTAAGCAGCTGTAGAGTAGTGCCTTAGTCTAGGGCTGTTGTTGGCCTAGTGTTTCTTCTAGTACTCTGCATAGCTTAGCAGTGGATGGATGCACTCTTTTCTTTGCCTTTGCATTTAGTCATGATGTGAGTGGATGGTAGAGAAAGAAGCACTTTAGGAAATGTCATTGTGTTCTGGAAACTAGGACTGGCTTCTTTTTGTACTACCAGAAAGGCTATCGTGTTTGTATTAATCAGCAGATAACCTTTACCACAAGGATGAGATCAGTCCATTTGTAAGGTACATAGAAAATGTGACAATGACTATACCTTAATTTCTACCATGAATTAATCAATTATTTATATGTCAGGTTGATTCTGGCTTATAGTGACTCTATTGGACAGAGTAGAACTGTTCCATAGGGTTTCCAAGGCTATAAATCTTCACAGGAGCAGATTGCCATATCTTTCTCCTGCAGAGTGGGTGGTGTCTTGAACTGCCATTGTTTTAGTTAGCAGCTGATTGCTTAACCTGGAATCCTTTCAATATTGATATTTCCTCAAAAAAACAGTTCTATTAGGTCAGGTAAAGGTTCATTTTTGGTAGTGATAAGTTGACAGAGATGGTTTATTTCAGTTAAAAAGTTTGAGAACAACTTCTTTATAATATTCTAATTCAATTTAACTCCTTGGAGACCTGATCAAAATTTTAGTCTGCTCGTCCATCCATTCCTTCCTTCCTTCCTTCTTTCCTCCCTTCCTTCCATTCATTCATCCATCCATCCATCCATCCATCTTTTGTACTTTTAAGTAGTTATTAATGGACCAGTCAGTGCTGATCACTGGGAATACAAAGAGAAGATGTGGCTCTGATCTTCAAGAAATGAACAATCTAGTAGGACAGATGTGTAAACATGTTGCTGTTGTTAGGTGCCGTTGAGTTGGCTCCAACTCACAGTGACCCTGTGTACAACAAAATGAAACACTGCCTGGTCCTGTGCCATCCTCATAATCTTTGCTCTGCTTGAGCCCATCATTGTAGCCACTCTGTCAATCTATACTCTTGAGGGTCTTCCCCTTTGTCGCTGACCCTCTACTAAGCATGATGTCCTTCTCCAGTGGTTCATCCTTTCTCACATCATCACCAAAGTACAAGAGACGAAGTCTGGCCATACTTGCTTCTAAGGAGGATTCTAGCTGAACTTCCTCCAAGACAGATATGTTCAGTATTCTTCGCCAACACCATCAATCAAAGGTATCAGCTCTTCTTTAGTCTTCCTTATTCATTGTCCAGCTTTCACATGCATATGAGGTGATTGAAAATATCATGGCTTGGGTTAGGTGCACCTTAGTCTTCAAAGCAACATCTTTGTCTCTTAACACTTAAAGAGGTCTTTTGCAGCAGATTTGTCCAGTGCAGTATGACATCTGATTTCTTGACTGCTGCTTCCATGGGTATTGATTGTGGATCCAAGTAAAATGAAATCCCTGACAACTTCAATCCTTTCTCCATTCATTGTGATGTTGCTTATTGGTCCAGTTGTGAGGATTTTTGTTTTCTTTATGTTGAGGTGTAATCCATATTGAAGACTGCAGCCTTTGATCCTTACCAGTAAGTACTTCAAGCCATCTTCACTTTCAGCAGGCAAGGTTGTGTCATCTGCATATTTCTGTTAATGAGCTGTTAATGAGCTTTTCCTTCAATCCTGATGCTGCATTCTTCTTCACATAGTATGGCTTCTTGGATTATTTACTCAGCATAGGTGACCCTTCTCATATTTAAAATACCAGTGACATAGCCTCCAGCCTCATAGCAACATACACCACCACAGTACGACAAACTGACAGACAAGTAGCAGATGTATAAACATAAAAGTGAAAATACAGCATAGTTAGAGCCACACTAAAGATCTGTACAAAGTGCTATGGGAGTCCAGGGGAAAAAGTGGTTTTACCATCTGGTGCTGAGTCACAGAGCTAGCAGACAAGGTATCTGACTAGTAGAAATTCTTAATGCAGCTAGGAAACCAACCTGCTGACATTGACCTTCTCTTCATACCCTTGCAAATACGAGTAACTCTTGGGCTCTGATAGTAACCCTGCTGGAAAGGTCATAAGTTTTCTTACTGCCTTACTCTAGATTTCTGAACTTAACCTTTTTTCCCAGATGAGTCATGGTGTATGCTTAGGAGGAGGACAGAATAAACATTTCAAGGATATTTTCTAGGTTCAGGAAGATACCAAATCATGGGAAATTATTTCCTAGGGCTGCCTTGATTGGAGGAAGAATCTGCTGCAGAGAGCTTTGTATTTCAAAATTATGACATAAACAGAGACAAAATAGCAGGCTCAGCAGAAACTGCATACCGCAGACCATATTAACAGCCTAGGGCCACCTGTTCAGCTGGGAATTATGGGCTCAATGTATAGCAAAATCTTCCAATCCCAGATTGCAGTGTTAAATCATTCTGTAGAGAGTGTATGTTCATAGAAAAATCCTTCTCTCCAGGGGATTGCCAGAGGGTTTTTCACAGAGATCCTTCACTTGACATACACGATACTGTTCTCTCAATTTTTAAATATAAATTTATTTGCCCTTTTTATGTGCTTCTAACTCAGCTATATATGCAGTGGGCCAAAACACTTAAAATTATTTCCAAGTGAGTTCTCAATATTTATACCAACTCAGAAGGTGGAACAAAGCAGATTGAACATTATCCATACTTGCCAAGTAAATTGAGAGTTGGGTATAAAAAGAATAAACATCTTTAGTGTTCTGATTTTGCCTAAGTTGTGGTAACATTTAAAACCAGCAGCTACATTGAAAAAATCAGAACAAAAGAAAGTGACATTGAGTTAAAAAAAAAAAAAAAGGACAACTAAATATATTGGAGGGGAAGCAGAGAAATTTACAAGTATTGAGTGCTTACCACATGCCAAGCTTTAAATGCTTCTCATTTGGTATCTCATTTATAACCTCCTGAGGGTAGGTTTGCTATTCCCATTGTACAGATGAAGATCTGAGCTTCAGGGAGTCTTGCCAGAAATCTGAAAACCAGTAAGTTTGATAATCCAGTCTGACTTCAGAAACAAATTTTTTGTATCCTATTTTTGCTCTGGGTAGTTCATTATATAAAACCAAAAACCAAACCCATTGCCATTGATTTGATTCTGACTCATAGCAAAGAACCCTATAGGACAGATTATAAACTGCCCTGTAGAGTTTCCAAGGCTGTAAACCTTTACAGGAACAGACTGCCACTTCTTTCTCCTGTGGAGAGCTGGTGGTGGGTTCAAACCGTAACTGTTCACTTAGCAGCTGAGCACTTAACCACTGTGCCACCAGAGCTCCTCTGTTCATTATGTAGTATTTTTCAATTGCAGAAACGTATTTACAAAGATACCATAGGTATCTTATAATGTCCTCTCCCTTATTGCTCTCTTTTCTTTGCTTTATTATGACAGTTTGAAAAATACAGAGAATAGTATATCCATGTATCCACCACTTGGAATGAATAGATTGTGAATATATTAAACATTACATATTCTGCTGAAGCTGCCTTTGAATCTCTCTCCAGTCCATTTCCTTCCCTCTCCTGTAAGATTTGAACTTCATGGAAATTTTGTTGCTAGAACTAATGTAAAACCTCTGTTAGTACCACTTTTTCCACACTGGAGGCTTTGGTCTCTTGAAAATAGGTCTGAAGATGGCAGTTTGAGAAACTGGTAAAGTTAACTAACTATTCAATCACTTGACAGTACTAGTTATTGGCTATCCAGGTGATCAAGAATATGTTCATAATATTTTTAATAGGTATCCTAAAAAATGAAAATTCAAAAGGACAAAATGCTCCTAGTGAACTTCTGAGCCCCATGAATTTTTTCACATATTAAATGATGGTCAGTGTTTGGCACTTGTTAGGTGTTGTGGAATCGGCTCTGACTCATAGTGACCCTTCGTACAACAGAACGAAATATTGCCCAGTCCTGCGCCATCCTCACAATCTTTGCTGTACTTGAGCCCGTTGTTGTCACTATGTCAATCCATCCCTTTGAGGGTCTCCCCTTTTTTTGCTGA